CACAGATACACACAAACAAACAAGCCACTCATATAGTTTAAGCATGAAGGCATAAGCTACATATGGCTCACAGAGTTCAACTGAGTTTAAATGAATAGAGATTTACGTAAACACCCAAATACGCTTTCTTGCTGAGAATGAATGAGAAAATGTCTATGCTAATTTCTGTACTGTTAATTTGAAGCTACTGTATATGTAGCCAGCAACCGGTTAGCTTAGCTTAACATACAGTCTGGAAATAGGGGGCAAGCGCTAGCTTGGGTCGGTCTGACGTAACAAAAGGCTCTGTTCACCCACCAACACCACTCAAGCTCATTAATTAACACGTTATACACCACGTTGTGGTTTTGCAGGGTCTATTTTTAGCAGTGCGCAGTCACTTCCTGGAAAACCCCCCATTAAAACCACACTGTGTCATGTTAACACTTTTGTTCCTGAACAAACAAAAACAAGATATAACCTGTGAATTATTGAGCTGTAGAGGTGCTGGGAAACAGATCTGGCTAGTGTCAAAGAGAGCAAAGCTAGCTGTTTCCCCGTTTCCAGTTTATGCTAAGCTAAGCTAGCCATCTGCTGGTGGGATCTTAGAGTGTAGACATGAGTGTGGTGGACTGTGTCATTGTAATTAATTGTAATTTTTTTCTTCAAATTTAAATTTAATCTAGATATTCTACTAATATCAGCATATTGTATTAATCCTTGCATTTAAACTAACTTTGAAACTTCCCTTTAACTACCGTCAGTATGTTTTTGCAGACTGATAGTTCTGATCCTGAGCTATTTCAAGCCTCAGAGACAACACACACTGCTGTTTTAAGCAGTTTACAGTCTTTTATGAGGCCACTAGCTGCATAGGAGTAATGTGATGTTCAGAAAATTTTTCCCACACTAGTGGTGTACTGTGAAGGAACTTTTTTTATGCATCACCTCAGCAGTTTTTGGTCGCCTCAAGGTGTTGTAAATTCATTCTCCCATTCTAAGGAGGATTACCAACTCCACTTGACTTTGAAGCTCAAAGATTTCCAAAACACGGTTTGACTTCAAGGCTTCTCTGTGAGTTGAGAGGATTTTAATGAGGGGATTTTCAGTTTGACCAGCTATGCAAGACTTGAGTCATAGATGGTTGGCTCCCGTAATCAGGCCATCTATCACCCTTTTATACCTGGAGTGTTTTACTGGCTCCTTCATTCTCGTGGGACAGATACAGCGCGGTACTCAAGGGGTGATGAGTTTTATTCTGCCACACATACAGGAATGCAATACAAGAGTCTAGGGGTGAACACGCTAGTATACGGGTGATACAGTGGGTCGACGATTAATACTGTTGATCTCAGGTTCGATCCCATGTATGTGTGTATTTCTACCCTGATCAAGTGGAGACTTTTAACTCACCGTTAATATAAATGAATGAGTGATGAAAACGTGTCTACAGTGTTCCCAGCACTCCATCCAATGCATGATGGGATATCTTCGAGGCCTGAAGAAAATGAAAGGAATATCGTATATCGTATATATAAGACCAATAGCTGACCACTGTTGTGTCTGTCCACAAAATATGAACAAGTGTTTAGCTTAGCTTAGCAGAAAGTGGTGGAATGAAGTATTGAATTCATACACTAGCGCTCTTTGTTTCACTCTCTGTTAAGCCACTTCCTACAACAACTTTTAACTTGAATCATTCAAGGACACACATGTGTATTAAATGAGTTGTTGGACGCTTTAGCCTAATCATTTCTCTACTCCATGCTGGCTTTGAGAGGTCCCTTTCTTACGGGATTTCAGTGATTGGGGACAAAATACACAATTACAACATAACACAATATACAATTTACAAATCAAGCCAAAGCTAATATGAGGGTCAGTCTCAATTATTCAAATCAAGTGGGTATTAAAGTCTTTTTTGTGTTAAATTCCCTCATACTGCACTTTGAGCTAACTTGTTCTTCACTTGAGTATTTCCATTTTCTTCTACTACACTGCACTCAGAGGGGAATATTGAATATATCAACACCCTGAATTGAGGTAGGCTGACAAACTGAGCCCTGTATCCACTTCATGCAAGAGCAGAACAGTAGTCTCCTCAGACCTGGCTTTCATTTTGAGATATTTTTGCCAAATGCAACAGATACGTGAAGAACACACACAGGTTTGCGTGCACACTGTTGGTCCATGTGAAGCTGTGCAGTTAACACTAACTAACGCCATCGTTATCAGACCAGAAAATGGAGGACAGATGCTGACATGAGCATGAATGATACCACCTGTGGTTTGAAACCTTCCTTTCCTGTCTCTGATGTTTCAGTGGAGGATGGCAAGGCCTTTGGTGTGTAAGACAGCCAGTTTGTGACATATGAGCAGAGGAGGGATTAAAGAGAGAAGAAAAGAGACAGACTGTGTGGGTAATACACGGAAAATCGATGTTGAATGAAGATTGAAGATGAAGATCTTAGCTTGTTCACATCACAAACGTAGTACCCAGATCACTGCCAATGACACACATACACACACTGTAATGGGTGTTTTTTTTTTGTTTTTTTTGTATTTTGTATTTAATCAAGTTACCATGTGCAGCTTAAACTGTGGCCATATTGTTAATGTTTTGAGTCCAAATTGGCTCTTTGTTTGTGTATCAATAAAAACACAGACTGCAACTGGATAACTACACACATCCAAGTCAGAGTCTAGATCATACTGTATTAATAGTACCACGAATTGATGTTGTATACTGAGGGAATCATTAAAGTAGTCAATCAGCTATGGAAAAGGGAATCAAATGAGGTTAATGAAATCCTCATACAGCAGAGAATAGGATCAAATTTGAACACTGGTGCTGTCTTAATTACACTAAAAAAGGAGGTTATATAACATTTCTACATTAAGTCAAAGAGTTTTCATGGTTTGCACATATCTGAAATAATCCAAACCTTTACAATAGGAACACTCCCTTTAGGAATTCAACATCACAAAGGACATAAGGACAAAGGACAAAATCTAATACAAAGAAAAGATACAAGACCTTAAACGGCACAGAGTAGGTAACACAGGTCTGAACAAATATACAGATGAACTGAACTGAACTGAGGTGAATGGAAATGGATTGAAGTGGGACACAGAGAGAGAGAGAGCAACAGAGACAGAGAGAGTGGGTTCATTGTGCTGCGGAGGGGTCGGGTCGTCCCGGTCAGAGCAGAGAGAGAAACGCTGCTCAGATCAGCTCAAAGGCTGACAGCTCTCTGACAGGGATAAGAGGACTGCCTGTAAATAATAGGGGTTCAGACCTGGGGCACCTTGCTGCTTGACAACATTCTCATTTCTCATCTATCACTCTCTATCTCTCTCTCTCTCTGTTGCCTATAGTGTCTAATTCTCATTTTCAGTGATATTTTCACACCAGTGGCATGAGACATTCAGCAGAACTGAAATAAAAAAATATTTTCCATATGGTTAAATAGCAGAAGCAGTCTAAAGTGAAATTCTGTTGGCCCCCCGCCTGTGTCGTCTCAAAGAAAAACATTCACATTTCCAGGGAAAATAGAAGGAAAGCAAAGTAGCAGAGTTTGAGATGGATGACATCATTGATTTAAACTGAACATCTGTGGGCCAGACACAGACCCAGCCTTAAAAATAGATACTGTAGGTATAAGGTAAGCTACCTGTATGGTATATTTATTCACCGCTTCTAAAAACAAATGCTTGTTTCAACAGTTTGTGCGCAGGTTTAGATAATTCTTGGAACAGCTACGGCTGAGTCATTTGAGGTGGAAGCAATGTGGCCTTAAAGAGTGTGAAGATGAGACCAGATGAGGTGAGTTCAGATAAATGAACCATCAGCGACTCTTTCTTTCAACGCTACTCATCAAACCAAGAAGCCTATGTTAAGATGTATAATTGAAGGTATTAAATACAACCCAGTAAACAAGGTTAAAGAAGCAGCATGACTCCGATTTTACCATTGTATCATTCACAGCAGCATCTAAACCAAATGTGCAACATGTGCAAGACAATCAGTCCACAATCAAGCCCATTGTGACAATGTGATAAATGATGGTGTGTAAGATTACATTCCCCTATGCACTGTGCCTTTAAAGAGCCACTGGCAGGGGTGGAAGAGTTATTCAGATGCTTTACTAAAGTAAAAGTAGCAATGCTACACTATGAAAATACTCCATTACAACTCCTGCATTGACAATATTACTTAAGTACAAGTAAGTATTATCAATAAAATGTAACACAAAAGGACTCATAATGCTGAAAAATTACCCCTTTGAGTATTTTTCTAATACATGTTGTATTATTATTACTAATGCACGTGTAATTATTAACATTTTACTCTTGTCCCGGTAGAGCTGATTTGAACTATTTTGTATAGCCTATTAAGGGGTAGTTTCATATATTTTACATCCAGTGAACTGATGCATGATGCAATGCATTCATCATGTTTTGTCAGTAAAATATCTGAATGCATAGTAACAGATAAATGCAGTGGAGTAAAAAGTACAATATCCGCTCTGAGTGCAGTGTAGTAGGACTAGAAGAAAATGGAAATACTCAAGTGAAGAACAAGTTAGCTCAAAGTGCAGTATGAAAGAATTTCACACTTGATTTGAATAATTAAGACTGACCCTCATATTAGCTTTGGCTTGATTTGTAAAAAAAAAAAAAATAAAATAAAAATAAAACATTTATGCACAGAATCAGGAGGATTGTGGATTGTATCCTTATCACTGTCTAATAAGGTAGGAACCTCTCAAAGCCAGCATGGAGTAGAGCAATGATTAGGCTAAAGCTTCCAACAACTCATTTAATGCACATGTCCTTTAATCTTAAATGAAGCAACAGCAGCTGAAGTGTCAAAGGGACCTCTGCCTGGCCCTGAGCGTCTCTGGCTTTCAGACACGCCCTAACCACCGGGACTGCCAGTGCGCCGAGGAGGAGGATCGGGTGAAAGTGGAGCGGAGGGAAAAGCGAAGAAAGAAAAAGAAAAAAACCCGTCCCCTCCTGTCAGAAGTATGCGGGGCTTGTCTTTACAGACCTTACGTCAGTCTGGACTCTTTAACAGGCTGTCAGTCCCGGTCCGGACACACAGACAGAGGTGCGCGGAGGAGATGAGAGCCACGGGACGAGGATGTAGCACACCTGCGGGGAGCGGCGAGCCGAGCGTTTAAAGCGGGACTCATTCTGGACTCAATGCATTTGCGGTTCCTCACCAGTGATGAGTTGGCTCCTGTTGTGGATTCTAACAGCAGCCGGGATTCAACAGGTGGGGTGGAGGGTAGATAGATAGATAGATTTAATGTGCGAGAGACGCAGGGAGGTGCATTACTGTTATTCTGAAAATATGAGTCTCTGTTGCCCATTGAACAGTGTCTGTGCTGCTAGGTACAGCATGCAAAGATACTATAAACTTCCTATAGGGACTTGGAGTGCGTTTGTAGAACTTCACAGTAAGTTTTAGCGACAGTTTTAACTTTATTTTCCCAACTCTTGCAATAATGTGTGTATAGCTTAAATCCCCAGTTTGACTCCCCATGTGTTTGTGGTAATGTGTAATATAAATTAATGTAATGACCAAATGTTTAAAATGGGTTGGCTATTCCTGTAGGGACTGCTGCGTAATGTCCAATTATGACCATATAATGGACTTTCCTCCTGATAGCGCATCCTTCCTCCTATTATAGGGTTTCCATTCTTGCTCATGAGGTTATCTGTGGATGTGTGAACCCAGAAGATAAGCCATTGCTGACTGACTATGGAAAGTTGTGTAGATGCTGGCAGCTGCCTCACTGCAGCTTCACTTTCCATCGTTTGTTATATTTTAGTGCCACCTCGTGGTTGTATAGGAAACAGCTTTTTAATGGCTTCATACATGTTTTTTTAAACATCCCCCTTTATCTATCTGTCAATCTGGAAATTAGATGCTTGGGTAAAAGAAAGACAGCAGTGTCAGAATGCATTAAGTTATTTTATAATCTATTACAAAAAACTAAAATTAAATAAAATTTTGCTCAGACATATGGTCAGTTTTAGCAACTGGAAAAATAATTATTGCCTATAATAATTGTCAATATTAGATTTCACTCCCTTCTAAAATGAGATCACATTAATACATTATAACATACAGGATGTGAATATTATCATTTTAGCTAATAATGTAATATAGTCACGCAATTTATCACATTCTCAAGTGTTTGTACAGTTTGAAACCATATTGCCTCTTAGATGTTGCAATTTTCTGCAGGGAAATCTAAGAAAACAATACCGGAGTGACAGTTTGTTCCATTTCCCCCTGGCATTTTGGGAAAAAAACAATAACAGACCAGCTTATTTGAGTGTCTCTCTCTCTGTTTGTAGTCTCACTGAGATTTTCTTAAATATCTTTTTCTCTAATTCATGTAACATTCTGTAACTCTGCCTTCCCTGACTATGGTGGAATTAAAAATTCAATTGTGCTGTATTTAGTCAACAAAAATGATAAATTTCAGGTTGAGGATTGCACTGGTTTATCATGTTTTCATAATTAGCTTATGAAACACTCCCTCCCTCTGCTCTCCTTGGTTTGTTGGGGTGATGGACAGGTTTTTTTTTAGCTGTGTTTGTTTTGTTTTGTTGTTCTATGTAAATTAGCCTGATAGTTGCGGGCTAAATGAACTCCTCTGAGGAATGGCTTAGTGGCACGGCCATGATTAAAACTCATTTATCTGCATTAGCTTTCAACATGCAGAGCACAGCAGTTATTAACATGACCATAATTCTATTGAAGTGTGGAGAACAAGCTCAGGGATATGACATAGGGTATGGCTTGCATAAGATAATTAAGCTTGTTTCCTCACAATTAATTGCAGATTAAGTGTCCATGCACACGTGTGTTTTTATGCATGTGTATGTGTGTCTTGCATGGATCAGAAGCTGCTTACCAAAGTGAAGCTCTGCTGTTACGAACATATGGATGGAATTATGATTTATTAGTATACAGATAATATTGGACCTCCGATGCATTGTTTGCCTCCCCGTCTAGACCTAGTGTGGCTATTACAATGGTCATGGTGTCTGCTACAGCTTCAGTTTGTCTTAATCATAAAGACCGTTTATGATTTGATCATTACCTCATGTGCGTTGAATGAAAATTGAGATACATACTTGCCAAAAACATACACAGTTAGTTTGTTGTAGCAGAAAACGTGATGTAACTTTTTCTTTGCCTAAGAAGCAAATCTCAGTGTCTCACTCACTGGACAAACCATCTTCTGGCATTTTCTCAAGCACTCAAAACAAGCAGTATTTAATTTGGCCTCTACAAAATGTTATTTGTTGTCAGAAAGTTTCCTCTGCTGAGACTTATGCATCCGCTGTCCAAAACTGAGCTCCAAGCGCTGGGCTGTTAATGTGGCTCATGTGGCCTGTTTCAGTCAGAACATCTGCTTTTAAGAGCTGCAGAGATCTTTACTGTGTGATCTTGGCCTGGCGGAGCTGCTTGTAAGAGTCAAAAACTAACTGAGGGGGAAGACGTTGATTGAGTTTTATTGGCATCATTTTGTAACCGTTTAGCACTGTTGCTGATTTTAAATACGATGTTGGAACACTTCCAGAGCGTGGAGCGCATACAGGACTAGATGTTGTCATTGATTTAATGAGATTATCTCCACTGAGTGTTTAAGTCATTTTTTATAACCTTATTTGATTTATTGCACAGCATGATCAGACGTTAGCAGGCTGCTATGTATTTCATCCATGTAGGCAGTGAAGCAGAAGTGTTGGGATCAGCATCTTTATGAGACAAGGCTACCAAAGAGGGCTGGATAGGAAAGAATTCCGGATTAAGGATATTAAGAATATTGCCTAACCACAGGGGGTCAAATACCTTTTAATTTTTTTTTTTTTTTAATTTTGCACAAACACAGAGAAAGAGTAGCAACTGAAGCCTTTGAATTTGTGTGATCAAAGCTAGTATTGTATAAATAAGGTTTATTCATGATGATACAGAGTTGAAATAACTGCATAATGAGAAGGCAATACTGCAGAGAAAAACACTATGTTTTAAATATGAGCTGCACATTATGCAGCAATAAACTGCATTTACTTTAAAGAAAATTGTTGTTGTCTTTAAGGCTTAATTTGTCCTTTTTCCTCCCTCCAGGCCTACTCCCAGAATTCCACTGCCATGCCGCCTGCCACAGCTGTCACATCCCCAGCTGCGGACCTGTACAACCGGACGCAGTACTGCAAGTGGCCCTGCGAGTGTCCCAGGGTCACCCCTACCTGTCCGCCGGGTGTGAGCCTCCTCATGGACGGATGTGACTGCTGCAAGACCTGCGCCCGGCAGGTGGGCGAGGTATGCAACGAGGCAGACACATGCGACTACCACAAGGGACTGTACTGCGACTACAGCTCGGACAAGCCTAGGTACGAAAAAGGAGTGTGTGCATGTAAGTGTCACCCACCAAAACCGACAAACCCAACAACTGTTTTAACACAGCAGGAAACGTTTTTTTTGTTTATTTTCTGATTATTTCACCGCAGTACAGGCTGCAGGTGACCAGATTGGATTTAAGCAGAGCAGGTGTTTGCTGCCATATCGACACTGGTTGTCCTGGTAACAACACAGTTGTTACTTGATGTCTGCCTGCAGGTGTCTGCTTGATACCATAGGCAGCAGCAGCATGCAGTCTCTCACCTTCTCTAAATTTATGTTTGTGATTTTAGTGGCTTGTAGTTGCATGAGGCATTTTGACGCAGATACAATGAATCTGTATCAAACGGTTGCGTGTGTACAAGAAAAAAGCACATATTGAAGTGACATGTTGACATCAAAAGTCTGAATTTCATGTTTTAGGGGTCTTTACACATTAGGGAAAAATATGCAACTCCTGGATATTAAAAACGCTTTTAATATTAGTAATATTCCTATTAAGCGTCACACGTCACAGACCAAACTCATGTCTAAAGCTATCTTAGACATTTCATATGTTTCACTTTCCACACTAAAATTCTATATATCAGTCTTGTTTTTATTTTGATATGTATTTTATACTTTGTCATTCACAGCATCTGTCATTTTTGGGAATGCAGTTAAGTTTTTGGTAAAGAAGGGTCTATCTAACACTGATATCTGTACAGTAGCTCTTGGAAAAAAATTGATTGCTATTGTGTGATATCAGCTGTCAAACCACAATGTAATTTATCTTACAGTGTTTACCTCTGAGAATCTTTTCCTTGCCTTGCTTGTCTTTATAATCTGTAACTGCTTGTTATTCCTCTCTGTCAGATATGGTGGGAACCGGCTGTGAGCATGATGGTGTGATCTACCGTAATGGGCAGAGCTTCAAGCCGAGCTGCAAATATCAGTGTGTGTGTGTGAACGGTGCCATCGGCTGTGTGGCACTGTGCACAGAGTCCCAGCCTCCACGGGTGTGGTGCCAAACCCCCCGCCGGGTCAAAGTTCGAGGACAGTGCTGTGAGAAATGGATCTGTGATGAACCCAAAAGAGGGCGCAAGACGGCGCCGCGACATGCACCAGAGGGTATGTTGTTTTCTTTTTAAATCCCCAATAGCACTGCCAAGTCTGTTTCCAGTTAACTCAAATGCAACACAGATCACAGTTGAGTCTGACAAAATCAAGGCCTGATAAATCAAAAAGAATGCTTCAAGTATTGTAAGAGAACACACAAACTAGGTCATACTGGGGAATAAACCTGGGATTCTATAAAATTACTGGGCTTTTGAGGAGTCTTCCTTATTCTGAGACAGTGTCATTGGTTTAGAATCATGGTTATGTAAACTGATTCTTAGGTTCAGGAGGCTTTTTAAAGGACTCCTGTGATCTGGATGATATAGTTGTTTTTGTTCATGAGTAGATGCAGCTCTCTGAACAACTTCATAAGTACGATTGATTATGTATTGTTCATTTAAAAAAAAAAGTTATAAGAGGTCAGGGAATGCATATAATCTGTGGCCTATTGATTTCATATGGTCTTTGGATAGTTATGATAATAAATGAGTGCTAATTTACAAGCACTTATTTAAAATAAAGAAAAATTTTGTTTTCCAATAGTGTGTGGATATGGTTAGATTTGATATGTAACATAGTTGCAGCTGTGTATGAAATTGGCAGCCAAAGGTCTATAGTGTGAGTACAGTCTGTATTCCAGGAGGATCATAAGGTTTGGGTGTGTGTGCAGGGACAGACCAATCCTTTCCTGTGGAAGCCCTCTCACTGTTTCTGGGTCATGTCCAGTTTCCAGTCATTTAGTGCAGCAGTGCTGTGGAGGAAGATTTCTTTGTGTTGCATAAGGAGACTGATCACATCCAGATTACTATGCATGTAGGACAAATGTAGGAATTGTTCTCAACTGGCCCTCACTAAAAATGTTTGAAAATTGAACCGAGGCAATGTGGCTCAAATATGTTGGACAGGACCTTGATCCAGCAAGTTTGAATTATAGCTCCCAAAGCTAGCTCATTAGTAGGCGATGTTATTAAAACTTTTCCCATTCAGGATACAGTTTCTTTCCTTTACTGAATCTGCTATCCTGCACCTGGCTAATGTGTAACAAATCCTCTGTATTATTAGCAAGTTTCTATTTATCAGTTTTCAGGGCATTTGTCCAAGGGCATTTGTCTTTCTTTGTTGTCATTATGCATTCGACATGAGTTTATGCATTATTTAGTTTCTTGGCATCACTCAAACCTTTAAATGGAACAAGATGTATCAGGGTATCACAATGAACTGTGATATCTTTAGCAGTTTGTACACATATCTATTTACCTCACCTCTCTATGTTGATCCAGCTTCCCCAGCTGAGAACAGGAGCTGGCACAATAACTGCATTACCCAGACTACCTCATGGAGCCCCTGCTCAAAGACCTGTGGCCGCGGCCTGTCCCTGAGGATTTCCAACGCCAACGAGCAGTGTGAGCTGGTCAAAGAATCTCGCCTTTGCAACCTGCGGCCCTGTGAGGTCGACATCACCAAACACATCAAGGTAGTAATTATGTTTTATATCTCAAGCCCTCAAGTGATAAAATGGCTGTCAACAAAGGTTCCTAGACTTTACATCTTTCTACTACCTTTCTCTATCAGCCCGGAAAGAAATGTCTGAACATCTACAGGGAAGAACTGCCCTCAAACTTCACCATCTCTGGCTGCACCAGCAAGAAGCAGTACAGGCCCAAATACTGTGGCGTCTGCACCGACGAGCGCTGCTGCATCCCCTATAAGTCCAAAACCATCGACGTAGAGTTTGAGTGTCCTAACAGGACGGGATTCACCTGGAAGATGATGTGGGTCCAGGCCTGCTTCTGCAACCTCAGCTGCAAAAACCCCAACGACATCTTCGCTGAGCTGGAGAGTTACTATGGTTACCCAGAAGTCATGAACTAACAGGTTCAATCATTCTCTCTCTGGGAGCACCCTGACGTTCTTCTGACTTCTCTCTCTTATGCAATGTTTTGTATTTGTAATGTGTATGATTATGTACAAGGGATTTTCTTATGGTCTTTTTTCCTATTGGAAAAATCTGTATATATGAAATATATATGTGTCTCCAGAATGGATATTCATACAGCATGTGCTTTTAAAGAATACCTGCTTTGCAATTGAACAAATATCCATCCAGAGAGTGTGTGAAATATTGAAGGCCTAATTTATTTATGTAGCTTTTTGCATATGTAATAACACATGCAACGTTCTTGACATGCTTTCAGGAACAGTCACTGTCTGTCTTTAAACTCACAAGTTAGATAATAAGGCATTACTGTATATATTTTCCTTTATATTTAATGGAATTTACTTTATGATAAATTTTAATAAATAGGCACAAATGGACTGAGATGCCAAAGACAAAGCCTTATTTTAGGACCACGTTTGAATATTCAATAATGACAGGATCAGGGACGATCAGTTACAAGTTTTTTATTGTAATTTTTTTAATAAATACAAACTGTTATGTCATTTTAATGCTTTTCTACAGCATTAGACGGTTGTGCATTGCATCTTTACAAAGCTGTGTATGTGTTTTACAAAGCAAAATGTAGTGCAAGTAAAATACAGGAGTAGAAGGTGTCAGGTAAGTTCTATGGCTATCCTCATGTTAACATGTGGACCTATCACTTCACTCACCCAAAAATCCACAACCACATAGGAGCATCACGTCTAAAAAATGAACAATTCCATGGCACATCTTTGTTCCATTGTGCTTGATTGCATAGAAATCATCGTAAAAAAGAGAAAAAACGTTTTGTCTGAAGCCATGATCCGTTAATAAAGCATATGATGTAAAATTTGTGTTTCAGAAAGTGTTTGATTAATGACAAAGCATACCGTCTCATTGGAATGTACTAAATATGATCCTTTGATTCCTGAAAAATTCATAAGTCACCAGTGAATGGATGTAAAATTGTTCAAATAACAGAATGTTTTGAAGAAACTCAAAGATAATGGACATTGGCAAGATGAAATAAGATTATTCGCTGTACATACATGATATACTTGAAGACTGTCCCTTAAATTTTAAAGTTGTGTAGCAATTTGGAAGGCAATTTGCCATTTTTATTTATCCAAGTGCCTCCACATTTTCTCTCCACATCTACAAATCTGCTCCTACGTACAAACAACACTTCAAACATTGAAAATAAAGAATAAATGATCAAACAATTACAGTGAGAACAGAAAACAGTCATTTACAGTCAGGTATATTCGAGAAAGCTGTGTCAATATGGTAAAAATGGATAAAAACAGGATGAGGGAATGCAGAAATGGAAATTAAAACATCTTTTACATATATATCTGAGAGATTATGAGAGATACATGTACAAGCTGGTGTACTCGTAGCCACAGCTTTCTCCGACATTCTGCTTCGGTGTCCCCAGATGCTGCGTTGCCCCTAACTACACACTAGCCTGACCAACGAGCTCAGGAGCATTCGGATATGTGTGAGTCCCTCTGAATGACAAAACAGGCATACAGTTGACCCTAACCTCTCACTCAAAAGACATCATATTTTCAAAGTGGGGCATCTCAGCTGCACTGAATAGACTGCAGGTGAGTGTCCATTGTGCGTTTTTACAATTCCAGGTATGCTATCTTAGTTTCCCTCTCCACATCGGTGAGTATGTGCGTAGGAATGTGTGTGTCTGTGTGTCAGTTAGAGGCAGCGCAGCACAAGCCAAAGGGACTTTGAGAGGTTTGCGTGTCTGGAGAGTGGAGATTCACTTAGCAGGATACTTCAGTGGACTTGGGCACGGCTTGGTCCACGTTGCTGTTGGCCGTGCCGTCCGTGGAGCCAGCTGTGTGGGAGCGGCCACGCTGGTTCTCGGTCGTGTGGCTGCGGCTGCGGCTGCCCTCATTGGTGTGTGAGCGGGAGCGGTTTCCCTCGGCGGTGTGGGAGCGGGAGCGGTTGCCTTCGAAAGAGGTGACGCTGGAGCCGGAGGCAGTGCGGGAGCGGACCAGGCGAGTCATGCTGGCAGAGGGCACTGAGGGTAGAGGATTTAGTAAATCCACTGTTTTGACTGAAGATTATTCTAGTGCCACCTAGACACCTTTAAAATGCTGTTTACATGTTTCTGCATCAGTAATGAATATTTATATAACAACACAACTGGGTGGGTATTTTTTTTTTTTAAAGTATATTTCCTAAATATATTTATATATTTGGGTATTTGGGTATTTTTACTTTAATAACTTAAGTAAATTGTACTGATGAGACTTTTCTTACTTGAGTGGTACTACTTAAATACTTCTCAAACTTCTCAAACTCTGTAGTACAATAAACATCTGGAGTTGACCCTAGGCTGAGTTGAAGTAACACCCCAGTGAGTACATGGGTCATTTATCACCCAGCACAAAGGGACTAAAGGAGAATGTGAACTGTGCATACTGTGTAGCCAAAGATCTCCATCTCACCACAAGGTGGGAGTAAACCCATGTATGGCAGGGGGTTGTATATAATTGGTAGTGGCATATCTAACCTCAACATTCCTCAGAAGTGCTTTTCACCCAAGTAAAAAATACTGCACGTCTCGAATACTTACTGTATCCCATGCCCTGAATGAAATACTTGAAAGCCTCTGTCAGTTTGCCAGGCTGCAGAAAAGGAAAATACATGGAGGGAGATAATTAGTCCTCTTGTCATTAATTATCACACTTGTTTACACAACACTGACAGACTCAATCACTCATCCAGCAACTCACTGCTCTGGGTCTGAGATATGACAGCTGCTATGAGCAGGTGCTGCGCAGGGTGGAGGATTACAACCTGACAAGTGTGGTTCATGTCTGCCACTTGTTAATGCTCTTAAGTATAACCTTCTTATGCCATCCACCCGTCCACCTGACCCTCTGCGCTGATTATCCAGCCCTGTCCAATCTGCTCTACAACAGCGTCTCACAAAGCTTTTTTTTTTCAGTTTCTGTCACACCAACACAGACATACACACCTGGTCAACCTGGGGCATGCCTCCGCAGTCAGCCATCTGGAAAGAGGAGGGAAAACACAAAAGAGGCCATTAGCATTTCGCACTGCAGCGGACACACGCCATTAACCCCTCCATTTGAACACGCCAAACACCTTGTCCATGCTTCGTCCAATCAGTGTTCCTCCAAACCCAAACAGTTAACCCTAATAAACAGCACCCATTTTAGCTCTAACAGCCATTTGGTTTCAGTTGCGGATAATAAAAGGTTGCCATAGGCCAACACAAGTAGGTCAACTGCAGCAGATTGCGTCCTCAGAGGAGACATGCATACGCACGTCGCCTCTGAGGACGCATTCGGCTGTCCTAACCCTTGGTTAATATGTCACCAGATAATTGCTGAGCCAGTGGAATCTTATCAGCCGATGCATTTCCATCAAGGCTATTATAATCTGAATGAGGATATGAGACAGGAGGTGGAGGGAGGGAGAAAAACAGGGCTTTACCTTGAGCAGGGTAGTCTTTGTTGGGTCCAGCTTGGTGTTGCACTCAACCTGTGGATACAAATAAAACTATTTAGTAAAGTGATTATTTTTTGTTGGCTGTATATATAAATTGCTATAAAGGTATCATTTTATGTATCACTTAAAGTCGCTGGCTTTGGCTATTAAACGCTAACAAATCAGTGATGCTGTTCGGCCTCCCTGACTAAAAAACAGTATCCTTCAAAATTAAAACTACTCTGCGTCACTTGATTCCCTTTCTCAACTTTGTTCTCGCCCTAAGTCATGCTGTCCTTAAGTGTTTTAATCTTGCATATCTTTTGGGCTTAAACAAGTGACTGAAGTGAATGGAAAACCTGTTTAGCACAAGTTTGCTGGGTTAACGGCGGTGGGAAGTCTAATCATTAGCATTAGGGCCTTGTTTTTAATGGCTGTGTTAACGTCAAGAGATTGTGTCTAAACTCACCACAGCCTCCACAGCAGGAGAGCTGTCGCCAACCACCAGCAGAGAAGGACACCTGGATAAGGGAGATACATACATGTACAAATCAGCATTGTTGAAATATTATATTTAATATATAATGTGAAATAAAATATGCATATTGCTTGTTGTCTGATGAAAACTTACTTGAGAGTTCTGACAGTGGTTCCAGGGACCGGCCTCTCAATTTCAAGATCCCTCCGACTGTAGAGAGAGAGACATACATGATGTTGTACAAAATCTTCAAATTCCAATTTTTTTTTGTTAACTAAAAGTTAATTCTACAAACTTTAAAGTTGTCACATATTCACTGTACCACCTGTGAAAGTAACTGACTGACTTTTATGTGTTTTCTTTACCTTTCGTAGGACTTGACAAAGAGATGCAGGTTGAACTGGTTCATATCGTTGAGGATGTGGTGGCGGTATGTTCCAATTAGGTCGTGGTTGTTGTGGATCTCCTCCTGTGTTGACCAAACACAAAATCTGTTTAACTCACTGAGATGACCTGAGAAGACCTAGAAAATCACAGTGCCCTGTACCAGTGAGATTTAGGTAAAAATCATACCTTTCCAAAGAGGTGGGTGATGATCATGTCAGGCATGGCATGAGTCCAGCCGCTGATCTGAAATTAGACATAAACATTTTATAAAAAGCTTTAAAGGATCATCTATCTCTTTGTTAGCTCTGCAAGTACACAATTCTTAGCTTCTGGTGCAAGCAATTATTTAAATGGTACTATATGTGTGTATGTTTGAGTTATTAATGTGTGTTACCTTGTGTGCAGCCCAGTCCATCCATCCCTCAGCACATGGGTTGATGTTGATGAGCAACAGCCCCTCCACCATGTTCGGGTAGTCCAGCTAAAACACACACAACATGGAATTTGAGATTTATTACTATAAAACACAATGCTGCATTTAGCTAAATATATGTGCAAAAACAAGTGTTTTGGGGGTATTTTAAAAATCTTTTTGTGTAATTTTTCATGATTGAAAAAATTCTTATTTCTGGTTAATACTTATTTTGTTGCATATTCTCTGTTTTCAGTCCAGGATATGTTTTAACTATCAAATAGGCTTCCTGATTAAAAACATTTTAAACAGAAATATATGTATTCATTGTACAATGATGGACTGAACACTGCAGCGAGGAGTTAATAGCTGTATCTCTGTCAGCCTTTTGTCAACAGAGTCAGACTTCCCATTGAGCACAGTGTGAGTGTTGAGCTGATCTGGAACATTCCTGAGGCTTTTATGGCTCAGCAGGCTCAAGCAATAAGCAGTGTTACATTGCCAAAATCAGCAAAAAGAAGAAACACATTAACTGGCTCTGCTAATCCTAAAATGATTAAAACATATTATTAATAATCCTGATTGAGAGGGGAAACTTACGGCGAATCTGGTCAAAATGTAGGCCCCTGCTCCAATGCCCATTCCAATTACAGTCTTCAGTCTGCGGTCAAACATACATGGATACTGTTAGAACAACAGGTTAGAAAAAATCTCAAAATAGAGTGTGAACAGTCAGTGTGAAAACTGCAGCTCAACTTACCCAAAGTGCTTCAGCACCAGAGGGAGGGTCTCAGAGAGTTGGTCCATAGAGGGGTATTCATATCTGGAAAACAAAAGACATTGTACAAAGCTTTAGTTAACAATCTAATAACAGCCACAATCTAATTGCTGCTCTTTATTGCTCCTTATTGTTAGCTGTTTCCATATCATGTTCAGCTCAGGTAGCGCTAACAGGAGGCAAAGTCCCACCATTAAAACAGAGATTAGGCTGAACGAGATAAACACCTGTCCCAACAACACACTTCAAATTAGGTCGCCTTAAGTACATCCGCAGGGATCTACCTGTAGAGTCAAAGGTCACAGACTGCTCGACATACAATGAGTTCCTGTGTGTGTATGTTTGTGTGTGTGGCTCACCCAGTGGAAAAGGTGTTAGCTCCCTCCTGTTGGCCGGGGGCATCGACATGACACACAGCAAAGTGCTGCATGATTTCTGACATGTCCTCATGGTTGAAGAGCGAGTCCCAACAGGTTTTGTCTGGTAAAATGAGGTGGAGGTAGATATGTGATTCTTGGCTAATAAGTAGAAAGAACCTCAACCTGAGAATAAGTGTAAGACTTGCAGGGTTTGTTTCTGTACAACATGCAGGTGTTGTTCCCCAGTATCTTGCAAGATCTGACACGGCCATAAAAATCTGTCACTGTAATAGATGTAATAGACTTAACAATATGAAGTTAGCTTGGGGAACCTAATCTGATCCCACGTGGTACAGTAATTCAAACCCAAGGCTTTAGGCACAACAACAGATGTTTCACCAAAGCAGAGCTGTATAAGGAGCCGGGCTTACGGTTCAGTCCGATGTCATGGATCGTGAGGATGACCGGTCTGTCAGCCTTGGGGACCCCCTTCATGGTACAGTGGATTCTTCCATGAGGAGTCTCCACATCATGCTCCTACAGGTGCAGAAAAATGACCAGGCTTAGCATAAAATGTTTGGATAAAAAACATTTGAATAAAATTCAGAGTGAACATGCCAAGGAATTTAGTTTGAAGCTCAAAAAGATGAGAAAATGTTCCACCTTGGTACTATACAACAGAGTGATATGTGAAACCTAAATACTTGCAATCAAAATGTAAAACTTATTTCTTTCCATTGCTTTCCATTTCTTGAAAACTACTCTCCAACCACACTAAAGCACAGCCAACCCAATTTAAGGATTGTCCACTTATTCAGGTAAATTCCTCCCTATAAGCCACAAACAAAAATATAAAGCTATTCTCCACTTTACTCCAACAGCAGGCAGCATAATCCAACAAATCCACTGGAAACCACTGAGCGCAAACATTTCAATATTAGTCTACTTACGCTGACTTCAATCTCAGCAACAATCATTTCCACATCAGAGTCCTCCAGAACCATTTTCGCAGGAGAGGAGGTCAACGCTGCTTGCAACTGAAAATGTGTTGTCGCAATGGCTCCCTGAGCTATAGATCCAAATGTTGGTAAGCCTCTAAAGTTGTTCAGCCCCGGTCTAAGCGCTGCGTTTTATACCCCCACTGCTTACCAGTTGGCCTAAGCTCCTGGACTCCCATGGTGCATGCGGGCTGGTCAAAACAAGCTAACTCTAGATGAAGAGATCCCTAAATTGGATCAGCCAATGTCAGACAGAGGGTTTATTGGCTACTGAGTAGACATGATGAGAAAGTATGGGTGTGTTATCAATGGGAAAACATGCTGAAGAATGAGGGAGGGGCAGATGGCAACTGTATTTCATCATATCATTGTCAAATTAAGGGCTTAAATTAAACACTGTAGTAAACTGTCTGTTATGGCTAGAAAGAGCTTTGATGACAGTCATAAACATTTCCTAAAATTACTCCATAAACAGTCTATATAGTTATATATAGCAATACAGAAAAACATTATATATGTATTTAAATAGAAAAGCTTAAACTCTAAATATTTTAAATTGTAAAGATTACATGAATAATGTTTCATAAATTTTATTTCAAGATGTAAGCTGTGTGTCATACTTATAAGTTTGTATTTGAAGGATTTTATTTTATTTATTTATTTATTTTTTTAAACACACTATTTATTGCAACTTCCTGTCTAAAAAATATTGCTTTCGTGAAAATATACTGGTGAATATTTCAGAACAATTTTATTATAGAAGACAAATGCTTGTATACAGCTCTAAATTTGAATATTTTCACAAAAAAAACATTTTGAAACTAAAATGTATGTAGATTTAATTTTTAGGAAAAAGCACAAACGTGCCTGAAGGTGACCTGCAGGTCTAGGACACTGTACAAAACGACCTATTGGGTAGTTTTCAAACCAGTTCTGACTGCATGAGATCTACTCTGGAGGAAAATCCAAGGAGGCGTATAACCTATTTACTGGACGTAATGTACACGTAAACATCCAAGGATTCACCGCGCTCAACCTATCCTCCACCTCTACGGGAGACACTCAAGCACGTAAGCAGCACAGCCAAGATAATCCTGCAATGCGCACATGTGCACACTTGTATTTGTGAATGCATGCATGTGCATCTAGGGAACTCAAAGGGGGGAAAGCAATGTTTGTGCATATGCCTGTATATCAATGTCAGGAGTAAACCCCCCGGTATATTCACCCTCCTCTAATCCTATGGCACTAATTGTTGGAAGCTTAGCTGCCACAGAGATATCAAACACTCGCCCTGGATCCTTCAGTGTGACACTAAAGTAAGTCAAAAGAGCTTTAAGGGCAAATTAGCTCTTTGATCTCCAAACACTGACTGCCTGACCAGAAGACCCACAATCTCACACACTCCTCACCTCACAGACTGGAGCCATTATGTTTGAGGTAAAGGTCAATACATTTTTGAGGATGTCCGAGGATGTGTTCATGACACTGTGCAAGCTGCAACCATATAATAACTAAAATTAGTGTGTGTGTCAATGTGCTGGAGAGGAAAGTGAATGGGTTGATGCACTATAGCTGTGTTATCTTACAAATCCAGTCCAAAGTGTGTTTCATCACTTTCAGTAGCTGACTGAATTAGTGGAGACCCAATTAGATTTTAGTCCTAATAAAATCACAGCGGATGAAAGGTCATCACAAAGATAGATTAGCCACTGCAACAGCTATGTTGATTAGAGGCTGCCTATTTATTTTTATCAGCCACTAGATGGTACCAGACAAGCTAAATAATAGGGTAAAACCTTGTGTGTATACAACCAGGAATTGGCATCATCTGTCAACACAAGTTTCAAGTCATAAAGCTGGGTTTACAACCGGTGGACAACAATAAACGCTGGCTCTTATTTCTAGGGTCTGCAAACATACCTTGATAACAAGCTGCTGTATAGCCTCTCTCAGGCCCTGCAAGGAAAGAACAGAGTGATGAAAATATAAAACTAATTCAATTACATTGTAACATCCTATAATCTAATATCATGAGGGCGTCATCCTGTCACTGAATGTATTTTCACATCCATATGACCTTTGTCATAGGAGTACAATTGCAACTGCACAACTTTGTTGATATAATAAATGATCAATGATTGAACTGTATTCTTTGTAGAACTACAGAAGTAGAAGTAATGGCTGCAGTGGAAGAAGGTCAGCACAGTAGGATGTGACTTTATTAGTTAGTGTGGCATTTGAATGACATTATGTGTAATCCTCAATCCAGGGCCCACAGTTATGAAATTGGTAATTGTAAGATAGATGCATACTTTCTTAACAATATGTAAGCAATTTTGTAATTTAACTTCAACACCTACTCGAATAAAACAAACCCGGCACATATATGCCATATCACTGATTGTATTTTAATGCAAATCCAGATGAAGATTGTCCTCTCTGAGTTCTTACTAGTTTGACAGAACTATGACTCATAAAGTCATATCTCTGCTGTGAGACTGATATTCACATATCTTAGTGTATTTTCCTTCGAAAAGAATCTCCAAATCTCCAAAAATATGATTTATATTGCTTTTATGGCTCAGATCTTTGACAGATAGATATAGAATAGATATACAGTAAGTCATTTATAATCATTTTAATGTAGTTATATCTGAATAGCACCTGTGGTATTCATTTGTTCATTCTCATATGCTGCAATCAGATTGAAGCACAGACGTACTAATGAACTACATAAGCAACCTGTCAAGGTATAAGTTGCGATACAATACTCGAGCAGGTCCAAACACATTTATGTACAAGTCTTTTCTAACACTGTTTGACTTGGCTCCGTTCAGAATACATACCGGCAGTTCCCTGTCGACCAGCAGGGGTTTGGACTCAACAACCTGGATGTCATCCATTTCAAAGAGCTGCAGAGCCTGGTGGTCAAAGAGATCAGAACAGTTAGTGAGCTCAACCTGTGTTTCAGAGGCTTCAAGCCTTTCATGGGCGAGATTCTCCAGGTTATGCAAAAGCAAAGAAAATACACACGAAATACTTGCATGTGTCCTTTCCAGGGATCTAAGATATTATAATTTCATTGGTGGATCTCAAACTTCTTCTAAAAAAAGGGTGTGGCAAAGGTTGGCGGACTACAGGAGGCTAACTTACAGACCATAAAATGACAGATTGTTTGAACGTTGGGGTGGGCGTGTTTCTTATCCACACAAAGCTAATAAAGAGACCTGAACTAAAGACCTGAACTAAAGACCTGAACTAAAGAACTGAACACACACACACACACACCCATACACTCACACAGGTGTACAGACACAGGAGCATGCAGAAACTGGTGCTGTGATCTGCACTAACATGTGGGCAACATAATGTGCCACACCTAGAGACACACAGCAGACAGACTGACGTGAAGACACACCAACAGAAAAAAAAGTCTCACAGACAACCTCGCAGAGTTGATCATCTACAGAACTGATAACTGAAGCAGATCCTCCCTAAAGATTGGGAGCATATTTTAGAAAAGAACACTAACGTCCAGATTCAAGAGAAAGAAGAGAGGGACAGACAGACAGAAAGGGAGTGGAAAAGGCAGGGAAAGGGGGAGTGTGAAGAGAAGCCAGGCGTCGGCTGGAGAGGAGAGCGGGCAGGCTGCGGCTCTGCATGCAAATCAAATTAGTCGGTTAAGAGGGCTCTTTGTCCGCTGGCACCGGTGGCTCCTGAGAGCCAGAACCGTGCCCTCCACTCTACCCCTGCTGAAGGGGGCCTTCACTGACCTACACACACAGGAAGCAACAGACACCCTGGTTCCCATCAATACAACCAAGTCTCTTTTCATCCCTCTGCTGGCTTTCTAGCTCCGTGCATTCTGTCACTTCTCTCTGTTTGTCTTGGTTTCTGCTTGGTTGCAGTCACTATGTTTGCTCTTTCCAGCCTCCTTCCATCTGTTTTGTGCTCTCTGTCTTTCTGTCTTTGCTTACAGCCATCAGCAGAAAACTAATCAACATCAACCTACAGGACAGCAGTGTGGCTGTCAGAACAAGGTGGTCGTTTTAGAGGAAGTGATTCATTACATTTTAAATGTGGAGATGACGGTTGTCCGGCAGAATACGCCCTGGACACAAACACACATGCTCCTCTGTCTGGGAGAACAGAGACCGGAGCCAGCCGGATCTCACAATAGCACAGAGGAAGAGGAGTATCAAACAACAGGTTCATTTTTCTGCTGAGGCCTTCAAAAACATGGCCGCCATCACACTGCAGGAGCTTTGTTGAAGAGGACAAGAAATCAGCCCCCGTCGAGATTCCAAAGCCATGTGAGTGAAGGCACGTTCATGCTGTTGGAAACTGAAACAACTGAGGAAGTTTCACATTCAAAAAAGATCAGAAATCAGTTCATGCATCAATGTGGAGGGGAATCCTCTAAGCCTATTTTTAAGCCTATTTGCAAACACGGCTATGTAAAACAAGCTCAGGGAGCTCATTAACAAATAAAACAGATTGCAGACTTCCTCTATACTTGGCCACAATCACCACCTGTTAGCGGGCTGGCAGCAGAAAGAGGGCCTGGCAGGCAGCAGGCTGAGGCAACTAGGTCACCAGTGGTGTGCCTCCAACTGTTCGCCTTGCTGAGCTAATGTTTTACCTGGTCAAGAAGAGCAGCGGGAGGGGGGTGTGGTACTTTAACCCCGTAGGATCCCAATCCAAGGCAACAAGATATGAGCACTGTTGTCTTGACATTTGTTATGTAACAATTTGTCAAATTAATTTCTATGATGCTGCATCATGTATGTAAAATGATTGGTATGGGAAAAACATTCAAAATATCCATATGAATGAAATCTGAAGAGCATGAAAAAAGAGTTTTGTGTTGTTTATTAGATTTTCGGAAATCTGTCAAATGCCTGAAACAACATATAAAAGGGAAGTGATGTTTTTACTGTGAATCTTTTTCTCACAGGGATTTTATGCTGCTGCTGCAGGGAGCTCTGTCTTTAAACTGGCTTCACTCCATAAGCAACAGTCACACATTGTATTTAACTAAGTCAAACTAGTTTCTACATGCATATCTCCTAATGAATCTTCTGTGGGTTTTTTCTTAGAAAATGTCAGGCTGTGGGGAAGAAAACAAAACTATTCACTGAAGCAGCTTCAGCCTGGCAGAAGTTAGACTGTGTTATGCAATCACAAACAGGAAACAGGGGGAGGATATAGGCCCGGGATGATCTGAAATGTGTAGCCCAAAAGCAGCTGCATAACAAAGAATACAAATTATATTCTTTTTGGAGAAATACTGGTACTCCCTATTAAAAAAAGGAAAAAAACATAATTTGTTGACTGAAAGTCCCCTAACTACATATGTTGTAATAAAGCATTTACATGAGCAACAGATAATCCATTCTCATGATTAGGTTTTCTGTGTTGATTCCTGAAAAGTCTGACTTTTTGAAAATCCAATGTTTTCGCTTGATAGCGAGATAATGTGATTTGAGCTTTGGAGGGAAAACAACAGCACTGATGCAGGCCTACATAACACGTTAGTGCTTGTTTTCCACAGCAAATCCAGAGATAAGACACACTACTTTAAGCCAGAACATCCAAGTTACAAAACAGCAAGAGCTCAAACTCTTTCTCTATTCGCTGAGACACAGAAACATATGTACTGATTAGATTTGTGTCTCAATTTTAGGGAGCCAGAATCAAGGCCAGACCATCCTTCCTCCATTCCCTCCATATAGTTTTAAATCCACGAGCCTGCGGAATCCATCTGCAGAAACAATGATTGCTTCCCTAATCTTTGGGAACTCGCTTAATCTGGAAAATCCCTGGTTCTGAAACATCAACACAGCAGGCCTGCTAGGCTAAGCTGGCACAGACCTACATTTTCAGATTGTAAAAGATATCAAAAATGTGGTGGTCTCTATTGCTACAGTAAGTTGGTGGTGGGGTCAGGGTGGTTTGGGGGAATCACAGCTCCATTATTGTGAGAGGTATCCTCCTGTATCACCACAGCTCCAAAGTCCTCCTAAGAACAGGTTTAACATCTTCTACACAGGACTGAAGACTGGAGTTTTACATGACCAAACATTGTCTAAACAGGTTAGGATACAATGTTACTTTGATAGCAACTAATAGAGAATATGCCTTATATTTTGACTGCCGTTAATAAACAGCATGTTTCACATTTGGATTCAGCCATTTGCACGCACCATCCCTTCCCTTCCTTCCTTTCCTCGTGCATTTTTTTGTTATGCAATTATTGCTTTCATGATATTTGTAACATTTTTCATAAAAGCTTCCTGCTTCTGTGTGCGCGTCCAGTGTCACGTGTGAAAAGCCTGTTGATCTACGGCCCTGTACCTGTTTACACACAGGTGGAGTCACTACTATTACTTTAAAAACGCATGAAACATCCATTTAGAAATATACAACAACAAAAAAAACACATACAAATGGGCCCCCAGAACATTGTGTATGTGTGTATGTAATATCGGGTGTTTTGCATTTCCTTAATATGCAGAAAAATAGGCCGTGCGGCCGTTTTCTTGTCTCAAAGATATGAACTGAAACAGTTGCCTATACTGTTTTTCATTTCAGTTGCCAAACAGGAATAACAACGTGCTCGGACATGTTGCGAAACTATGAGACAACTGTAAAAAAAAAAAAAAGCGCCTGGTTCCTTATATATATATAAAAAATCATCAAAAACACTTAAATAAAGTTATTTGAATCAGAAACCTACCTGTTGCTTTAACTTCTGATTGTCCCGAGATGAACACACCCCAACAAAAAGTCCACAAAAACTTTTTTCTTTCTCTCTCTTTAAACAGCGCAGATGGTCGCAGTGACAGAAGCGTTGCTTTGTTTATAACGTGCGGCGCAAGGCGGAGGTATGAGGGAATTTTTTATAAAGGCTTGGGGGTGTGCAGCCCGGCCCACTTTCCCCGCCGCTCTCTCCATTGGGCAACAGCAGCTGTGGGATTGATATCGCAGCTTGACTCTTTCCAGCGGTTGCATGTTGAGGAAGCTGATGACAGCGACTCATTCCTGAAACTCGATTTCCCCTCCCTCCCTCCCCAATACTCCCCCACTATAACCAAACTGCATGTGACACCTCATTGTGGATTCATAGAGACTTTTCCTATTTGTAATGTTCTTTTTGCTTATTGCTCTATATTTATTATGGGGTGTGGTAGTTATTTTTTCACGTGGGTGCTGACAAAACTGGAAGTATCAAATGTCATTATTCTATAACACCCCATTTGTGCCATCATTAGGCTACACCTTTTGATGTGACACATTTGATTGCTTGCTTTTATGCTTAGGTGGTGTTTGCATTGCTATAACAGAGCTCTCTCGCTCCACTATGAACTAACATGGTGTGGGGAGGAATCTTGGCAAGGCTGCTTGTCTTTTTTGACATCAACCCACTGCAAACTGTAACCTACTTCATCTCACTCTAACTGAGGAGTCAAAGCCACAGCAGTTTTTTTTTTTTTTACAATGTCTCACAAAATCCCAACAGATTACATATTTTAAGATGTGTTTGAGGCACTGTCGGCTGTGTGAGGCTGAGGAGCTAGGAATGCAGCGAGGGCCTGCAGCCTTAATTTGAGGCCAAGAGGAGATCAGTCTGTACAAAGGGAAGCCCTTCCCTCTCCTTGGATCACACTGCTTTTCCTTGATAGCGCATTGCTATTGTCTAATCAGAGTTAGCTTGTTCTACAGATGCAATAATCAATACCACAATGGTAACAGTTGATTCCTGTGTGAGCTGCTGTACAAATATCACTTTGAGGGAAAGCATGAAAGACATCTGCAACAATCCCCTCTACAAGTGGCTTCAAAGAGATATCTAATCTGGTATAAAGCCCTGTGTTGAATGGCCTCTTTGTGGTTTGACACCTTTTAACATGTATCTGAGTGCTGCTGAGTGTGTATAAATGCATCCCTCAGCATCTTCCATTCGTTTCACTTACCAAGCATGTACTACAGTGCAGGGTTCTCCATGGAAATTTCCGCACCTGCAGGATTCTGACTGTTACACTGTGAATCTGCCAATAAGTGCTAGTATTGGCAATGAGTGTGTGAAAGGTCCTTGTCAAGATACAATAGCCGCACTGTGGGATTGTAATGTGAGGCTCTCGATAGGAACACATGGAACAATAGGCGCGTTAGAGGGGAAAAATATAACCACTATGCAAATTTCAGGTCACTCACTTAGTACACTGCAAAGCATGGGGAGCGCACTGAATACTGAAATATTCTTATTCTTCCATTAATGAAAATGCTGCATAGTGAGCATCCTTGTCTGTGTATGTGAGTTCATGCATCTGTACAGTTCCTGACCAGCTGTCCTTGTGAAACAAAAATTGGGAGAGATATGTGGGTCGCAAAGTGTCTCAACACCACTATTGGACTTTCACCTGGCTGATTGCAGTGGGGCAGCTGGCAGAGCTCCTCAACTCCTCGGGATTCACCCCTTATATTGTAACTTCTTCTTCGTTTAGTCTTTAGTTCTCTTATTTTCACATAAGGCGCTTTGCTGACTTCATTTTTAAAAGTACTGTACAAGTAATTATTATTATTAGTAATCATGTACAGTGATTTCAGAGAACTTGGCATAAGAACACAACGTAAACAGAAAGACTAAAATATAATTTAACTTTTGAATCCTGAAATCTACAAGGAACACTAGAGCAAATTAGATTCTGCTTTTTGTGTCGTTCATTTGTCTTGTTCCTCTTTTCTTCTTCTCCTGCCTCTCCCATTTTATCGTAGGTTCGATACTGTACATGCAGCAGTAGCACTGGCTGTAACTATCTCCTGCCGCCTGTACTCCAGTCAGGGGTCACTCAGTTGAAGTGTGTTTGACCTCTGTTCACTGCAAACAGAGCAGATAATAAAAGACAGAGTATGTAGCACTGAAGGTCAAAGCTCATCCATTACACATACTATTGCTGAATGCTGTACAGAAAATGTATTTACATTAAATTAAAACACAATTATGAACTGTTTCCTGACATCTTTATTCACTGCACACGCCCATCCCTTTGTGTGGCTCTCCTCTAAAGTGGATCCAACCAGTCATGACAGCCAGAGTGATGCAACATGCTTGTAACTGGAAAGGGTGATTCAGACACACATGACATGAAATGTGTCTGGGGTCACGTAGTAAAAGGTCTGTAAAGATGATGTAAATTTGTGTCCAATGCAGAAAGGTATGCCTGCATTGTATTTTCAGTGAAAAGCAAAACAACACTGATGATGACTCATTGACAGTGGCTGCTGACCTCAGGGGTTAATCTTTACAAACCTTTTGTAAAATGAACCAAGAAGTTACTTTCCATTGTAACCTGTGGTGTCCAGATAAATCATTAAAAGAAGTGCATGGCCCAATTTTGTTTCTTGTTATAAATAGCACCCTCTATAGCAAGCAGTTAATTAGTTTAGCTTAGCACAAATACTGGAAACAGGGAGGAATAGCACCTCTACAGCTCACTAATTAACACAGTATATCTCATTGGTTTAACATGTACAAAAACAAAAGTAAAAGCTCAGCTAGCTGTTTGTAGTTTTAAGCTCCCTATAAATCTGCAAGCTCCAGTCTCACATTAACTATTCCTTTAAAAACTAAATGTGTTAAATATATGCTTCATGGACGCCCGGTTAGCTCAGTCAGTAGAGCTGGCAACCCATGTACGGAGTTGCTGCAGCGGCCAGG